TTCACGTGCCTATTGGCCATTTCTACGTCTTCAGTGGAGAACTGCTTGTTTAGGTCTTCTGCCCAGTTTTGCACTGGGTTGTTTGCGTTTTTGTTATTAAGTTGTATGAGCTGTTTATATATATGGGAAATTAAGCCCTTGTCAGTCTCATCATTTGCAAATATTTTCTCCCATTCCGTAGGTTGTCATTGTGTTTTGCTTATGGTTTCCTTTGTGGTGCAAAAGCTTGTAAGTTTAATTAGGCCCCATTTGTTTATTTTTACTTTTATTTCTATTGCCAGGGTAGACTGCCCTAGGAGAACATTGCTAAGATTTATGTCAGAAAGTTTTGCCTATGTTTTCTTCTAGGAGGTTTATAGTGTCTTGTCTTATATTTAAGTCTTTAAGCCATTTTGAGTTTATTTTTGTGTATGGTGTAAGGGAGTGTTCTAACTTCAGTGATTTACATGTGGCTGTCCAGTTTTCCCACACCATTTGCTGAAGAGACTGTCTTTTATCCACTGTATATTCTTGCCTCCTGTCAAAAATTAACTGACCGTAAGTCTGTGGGTTTATTTCTGGGCTCTCTATTCTGTTCCACTGATCCATGTCTGTTTTTGTGCCAATACCACGCTGATTTGATTACTGTAGCTGTGTAGTATAGCCTGAAGTCTGGGAGGGTTATTCCACCAGCTTTGCTCTTTTTCTTCAGTATTACTTTGGCAATTCTGGGTCTTTTGTGATTACATATAAATTTCAGGATTATTTGCTCTAGTTCTGTGAAAAATGTCATGGGTAATTTGATAGGGATCGCATTTAAATCCTTAAAGTAGATTGCTTTGGGTGGTATGGTCATTTTAACAATATTAATTCTTCCAATCCAAGAGCATGGGATATCTTTCCATTTCTTAAAGTCATCTTTAATTTCCTTAATCAATGTTTTGTAGTTCTCCACAAGTTAAGTCTCTCACCAACTTGGTCAGATTTATTCCTAAGTATTTTATTTTATTTTTTTTGGATGTGATTTTAAAAGGGATTGCTTCTTTACTTTCTTTGATTTAATTGTTAATGTAAAGAAATGCAACTGATTTCTGTATGTTAATTTTGTATCCTGCTATCCTGCTGAATTCTTTTATCAGCTCTAACAGTCTTCATGTGAAGCCTTTAGAGTTGTCCATATATAGTATCATGTCATCCACATATAGTGGCAAGTTTACCTCTTCTCTCCCAATTAATATCCCTTTTATTTCCTTTTCTTGCCTGATGGCTATGGCTAGGGCTTCCAATACTATGTTGAAAAGAAGTGGTGAGAGTGGGCATCCTTGCCTTCTTCCAGATTTTAGTGACAAAGCTTTCAACTTTTCACCACTGAGTAATATGCTGGGTGCGGGTTTGTCATAAATAGCCTTTATTATGTTGAGATATGTTCCCTCTATACCCACCTTGGTAAGACTTTTTATCATAAATGGGTGTTGAATTTTATCAAATGCTTTTTCTGCATCTATTGAGATGAGCATGTGATTTTTGTCCTTTCTTTTGTTGATGACACTGATTAATTTGCGTATGTTGACCCATCCTTGCGTTCCTGGGATGAATCCAATTTGATCATAGTATATGATCTTTTTTAATGTGTTGTTGGATTCTGTTCGTTAATATTTTGTTGAGCATTTTTGCATCTGTTACAGGCCATGGTATTCACCTGTAATTTTCTTTTTTGGTAGTGTTCTTGGTTTTGGTATCAGCATGATGGTGGCTTCATAGAATGAGTTTGGGAGTATTCCCTCCTCTTTAATCATTTATTTAGATCATTTTTAATTTCTTTAAAAAATGTTTTATTGTATTCAGAATATATATTTTACACTGATGTTAAATTTATTTCTACGTATTTTACCCCTTTTCATGATACTGAAAATGGAATTGCTTCCTTAATTTCATTTTCAGATGCATTGTTGCAAATGTATAGAAATGTTATTAATTTTTAGATACAGATCTTGTATCCTGCAAACTTGCTTTTTACCCGTTTATTAGTTCTAACAGTTCTTTAGTGGACTCCCTTAGGATTTTCATATACATAATCATGTTATCAGCAGATGCATAGTTTTACTTCTTCCTTTCCCATCTGGGAAACTTTATTTCATTTACTTGCCTAATTGACCTGGCTAGAATCAATATATGCTTTTGAGATCCATCCATGTGGCATGCATTCGTCAACCTTCCCTTTTTACTGCTGAGTAGTATTCCATTGTATGAGTATGCCAGTGCTTACTATTCTCCTGCTGATGAACATCTGGATTGTTTCCACATCTGGGTTTTCATAAACAAAGTTGCTATGAACATTCTTATAGACATCTTTTTGTGAACATTCATTTTCTTTTGGGTAAATACCTAGGACTAGAATTGCTAAATGACAAAATTAATGTATATTTATTGAAAAATTGTCAAATGGTTTTCCAATGCCTGTACCATTTCACACTCCCACGAGCAAGGCATTAAGAGATCTAGTTGCTCCAGATCTTTTCCAAGTTTGGTCTTGTCAGTTCTTAAATTTTA